GCGAGACGAATTTACAGACAGAAAAAGAGAGAGGCTGAAATCCGAGAGTATGAAGAGCTTGACAAGCTGGCCGACAGGGGTAATGCTCGAAAGTTTTAGAAAAAGATGCGTCGACTAACAGAAGGTTTCAAAACCGTCTGAAGATCAGCAAAATCTCGGGGCCGATGGATTGCCGGCCGAGCTATTCAAACACGGTAGCTTAAATAAGCTTCTTTATAGCATATGATCGGACGAAAGCATTCCCGACGATTGAAATTTATCCCAATCCACCATAAGGGAGAGCTCACAATCTGCGCCAAAAAGGATCATTGACCCCGAAATGTCAACAAGTAGGTCATGGAATCAAAATGTAAACAAAGGTTGTGGTCTTAACTAAGTGTAATCAAAGGTTGCGGACTTGTCTAATTATAAACAAAGTGCAAGGGTCATTGACCTCATAAAATACAAACAAGGGGTCAATGACATCGGCATAATGTAAACAAAAGGAACATTGAATCCAACACTACAGCATATATATGAGTATATTGTTCAGAGCGGAAATATAGCTTTTTATATCCTCATATATTAGACATGTCCCAGTGATAGGTATTTGAGCTTTTTTCGGCTGAAGTTAAAGTTTTTTTAGCTTCAATTAAAATTATCTCCAATCCAAAAAAAAAAAATACTTTTTGCTATAGAAGAATAAAGCTAATGATCGATAGAGTGGTTCCCAAAATCGTATTTTATTTTAGAAAGTGAAGAGCGACTTGAAAATCGGAATAATTGTCGAAAATCGTTTTCGCTATCAACAATAATCTAAGAAGAGAACAAAGAGTTTCAGAAGCCCATTACGCTATATGTGTTAGATATACTATACATGTAAAACAAAAAATAGATCAATTGGAATTCACAAGTGAATATAATTCCTTAAGAAAGCTCGACGCTTCATAATTAATTTAATAATGATTGAGTGAAATATTGAAACTCGAAAATATCTTCCAAAACTATAAATGCTCTGTTCTAAGAAAATTCCATTTCTACAAACTCTACTTAAAGACAAAATAGAAGTCACAAACCATAATATATTTATAGAAAATCGCCGCTTCAGATGCAACAATTAACTCCGACAAGAGTTACTAGACGAATGATGTTACATATTGCTTCACTTGGTTGCTCAATGGGGTTAATGTAAAATTTTTTTAAAAATTTCAAAAAATCTCCAAATAAAATATCACAAAAATCATAAAGATTCCATTCTGCATGACTCACTTGACCAACGAATTTTCCCTGCCCAACTAATGTTCAATGCGCACCTGTACATTAAATATGCAGCAAGCAATGAATCGTGGTAAAACCAGCGCTCATTCGCAGAGTAAATAAATAACAAAAGCCTTGGTCACGAATTCTTCCCACTGCACAATGTCAAATGGCAGTGTTGTTGTTGTAAATTATAACTTACTATTATTATAATGAGAACCCAATGCAGCTCGGCGCAAAAAAGGGCTTTTTGCTCACTCACTGAAGTTGTTTTTAATTGGATGAGACGCAGATGTAGCTTGCTGTCAGCAACTCACCGCGTACTGCCCCTGTTCGTTGAGGGATCACACGCTTGTTGATCTGACTGTTCATTTGCGCCAATAAGTAGGTGAATGTTTGGATTTATTTTCGACCACAAGCGAATTAAAATTATTATTTGCATTGTTCTACATATATTATATGTACATATAGGCGACAGTATTGCGCAAAATATATGCAACATAATATGAGAAGTTTTCAAAAATTAAGTGATTATGGTAGTTTGTCTTCCAGCCTACTAATTTTATTTGATTTTTCATATCTATGAGTCGGAGAATATATAAAACTTTAATTTTCGTCATCGAAATAATCTTCCAGCTAAGCTCTCTTAGCACTTTAGTGGGAATCACACATCATAAACTTAATTTGTACGGTTTGATTTCTCCAAAAAACTTCAATAAAGGCTGTTTTTGAAGGGTTAGGATCGATCTTGATACTTGGTTTACTAGGTCATGTAATCTGACAAAATAATTGAATTTGTAAAAATTTCCTAAAAACAAAAGTATTGTATGGAATGCCGGCGAGTTACTGTGCTTGACCTGAAAAACTACGGTTTTATGTAGGTTTGCAGTGAATATATTTTTCTCATAATTGTACGTTCATAAATAGCACTAATACTGTTAAAACGACACTACCAAACCGCTACGCTTTCCGTAATTAATAACACTCACTAAAATATATTGCTATTATTCATATACAGTAATACATACAAACTCGTAATAGTACACTGAAAAAAATTTAAAAACCAGGTAGACCAAATGTACTATGCTTGGAAGCAAATCTGGTTAGAATTCTAACCGCATGTTATGCAGTGCTGGCTTATAGCTGTCATACAAACTGAACGATTGGCATCATGTGCTTGCTCTGAAATCATCTTGTGAGTTCCAAACTACAGCATATCGCGGCATGAGAGTCACCTGGCCAGCCACGGTGCCTGTTTTTCTTATATAGAGTCAGCTGACAGCCAGCTTCCCCTGAAGTCACCTTGTGACATCCAAACCCCATCACATAGAGACACGAGAGTCACTTAAGCACTGGCCAGGCACGCACTGACCGTTCGAAATTAAGTTACAGATAATTTTAGACCCTTTCAACCTGTGAAAGGTATTAAACTTCGGGGCAGACGAAGCACAAAACTTCTTTCTTGTTTTCTTTGCAATGATGCCACTGAACTAAATTGCCGAAATAGTCCTACGTTTTTTAGCGTTCGACCAAAAGTGACCATGTTCTATGACTTTGCAATGTTAATGAAAATATATTTTTTCTTGTGTTAAGAGATTACTGGATTTACGCGTTTCAAAACCTCGATTTTTTTTATTATGTTATTAAATTCTACAACACCTCTAGAATATTATCCTTAATTTTCAAGTTGATTCAAACAATAGTTTCGGAGATGCAGCCTTGAGAACTTGTGCGCTTGAGGCTACTGAGACTAAGTGCGCCGTCTTTAAACGCGTTTTCTCGAAACTGTGTTTTTGAAGTCGGTTGGCAAGATTTCTCGAGAACTACTCAAGTGATCTTCATAAAATTTTACACAGGTCTTTGAGATACAATTGTGAAAAACGAGAACGAAGGATTGTCCTCTAATTTAGATGATCCTGTAAGGAGATATATTGCCAACGAGGGCGCATTTTTTCCGAGTGTCACCGGAAATGGCGTCCCAATGGCCGACTTTAAAATAATTTTTTCCCAAACTTTCAGAAATTCTTTGTTAATATTGTATGTTTGTAACAATAAAAAATTCTAATAAAATATTTCATTTTTTATATGAGAAAAAATTGTTGAAAAAAACTGTTTTTTACCCGAGGAACAACAAAGCCCTTAAGACTACTTCAGTAACTAGTGTTGGGTGCAACGTAGCGTGATCTTGTTCTAATAGATGTTACGATCGTGATTTTTGGGAGTATGATTACTAGGGTAATCAAAATGCAATCCACCACTACAATTGGGTGTAATGTAATTCTCATACTTACACACAAACAAATAAAGGCTTTTAATTGTATATTCGAGTAATTGTGGCAGGTGCTTGTTTTTGTTTTTGTTATTGCAATTGCAAGTACTAATATTTTATTATATTTGCATGTAACTGTTACAGAATCACTCACAAAATTATGCATACACCTGTGCCTATATGTACATATGTATGTATATGGGGAGTCAGCGTTGACAAACCGCAAATATTTCAAGCCCGTGATTGACGTGCACTACAAATCGTGCAAAATATGTGACCGTAATGTGCAAATTTATAAATTATTTACACGCACACATACGTGCATATATACACGAATACTAATTTCTATATTTATACAATACGTGCAAATAAGTCAATTATTGTTTGTCATGACTTAAAGTTTGAGTTACACTGCACAGGAATTTAAGAGCCCATCAACCAACCTATGGCATGATCAGGTGGCAACTCAGGTGAAGCAAATTTGTAATTCGGACGAGGAAACAGACTTTAAGCGTCTAATGATAGTGCATACCTTATTTTTTGAGGGATCCAGTAAATGATCTTACAATTTTCAGCAAGGAAAGCGAAAATAAAAAAAAATTAATTTTTTCCTCCAAATGTGAAACTAAGATACGTTATATGACGGAGCATACTCGTCTCATACTCTTAGCTCGGCAGTTTGGCGGCGTTTCGAGTATGACAACAGCTTGCACTTCTCCTGAACCAAAGCCCTCCTTACGCAGGACAATAGGTCGACGAACTAGAAAGTAACTAGTTTTAGGCCTAGGGGAGACAATTAACAACGCGGAATTTTTTATTCATATATATTTTTTTGGTCCATACTAAAAAAACATACGGTCGTCAGATACATGAACTAGAACTAGAAGACTAGGACTATAAGACAATTATTTGGGTTTTTGGAGGAAACCTGGGCATTTTAGGACCAGATATTCAAATGGTTCTCTAATAACTCGAAGTAATTAGCAAAAGGTCTTTACCTGATCTCTTTACCTGATCTCTTAAAAAAAGTTCCCTTAAAATTAGAGTCGACTCTCCCTTCTTTACAAATTAAGTATACGTTCTATTGAGAAGACCTAAATTTATGAAATTATTTTTAGTTTAGCAAGCCGTTCTATGGAAACATGAAAGTTATCTCTTTCCGAAAGGAAAAGATATTTTTCCCTGATAGCAATTCTTACACCAAAGGAAAGAAACCTAGAGATTATTGTTTTCTTTGAAAATCTGAAAATAAGTCTCTTCTGAGCACTCTCACACAGTCTACTTGGAAATCTTTCGACTAATAGTCGTCAGTTAAATGGTAATGCAGTCATACTGTTACACTTCAGTCCTCATAGAATGTTTTCATAAAAAAATATATAATAATTAACTATTATGTAAGACACTTCAAATTAATGATAAATTTTATAGCATAACCAGACGGAGTACAAGTATATAGTATAATACAAATATATAACATACAATTTAATAGACTTACCAAATAAATACCGTTTAGGTTTTCAATTTATTTGCTATTTGTTGAATCCGCCTACTTCTGCAAATTCTGGTATCAATATAAAATATAATTTCACTTTTTCACCGAAACCGCACCAAAACCGAACACACTTTTATATTTTTGATCGCCCGAAAACCCGAACACATACTATGCACATAAATTGATTACACGCACCTACGAAACACTGCTTACACGAAACACGTATTACCGAAATACACTTTCCACTTTAGAAAATAGATATATTTGAACATTTCAATGAAATATATTTAATATTTCACCAAATATTTATTTAAAAGCCAGCGGCGAGCGTGAGAATCAATTCACACCTGCATAATTTGCTCACAATTAATGATGATTGAGTCAATAGGAGAAGGAGGCGATAAGGAATTTTCGCAAGCTGTAAGGAAAAAGTGTATTTATTCAAATATTTTTACAAATACTGATTTTAATGAATTTTTATTACTGATAATCATCGTATTAAAATAAAAAATAAAATAATAAAATAAAATTTAAAAAATGTATAACTAATGATAACGGAAAGTGGTAGTCTAACTGTACACCAGAAAACCATTAAACCGCGTTTTTGAGACAACGCAGTTCCTAGATCCACTTTTTTACATAAGAAACGAAAAATTAAGCCAAATGGTGGACTTCTTCATAACATGCCTAGTTGAAACTTAAAATATTTCTGACCGAAAATAAGGTGCTAACGAAGGTCATAATTCATGCTACGACGAATTAAATGCCATAGAAGAGGTTTATTCTTTCATGGATTAAACGATTTCAGAAAATTATAAAAAAGGCTAATGTTGGGCTAGTATATACAAACAAAAATTGTTTGATAAATGGCTGCGTTGACACAGGAAAGACATCGTGTTCATAAAGCATGAAATTGAAGCTTTGCTGAAATCTATAAAAGTATGATTTACGGATTTTTAGAGCCCTTAACTTAAGGTATCTCAAATTAATTTACGATGCGACGACCATGAAAGAACGAAATTTGATAAGTTTTTTCGGTTGAACTTGCAGCAAGGCAGGTTCCAGTAATTATTGTGTTCAACTCTGCTATGGCAGAAATTTCTATCTATTCGCTGCTATTTTAACTTTAACAAGAGTAAAAATTCTCAAATGTTCTCTAATAGTTAACTATTGGAATAATTTTAGACTATTAAAAGAGTAAGGGCAGATTTCTCAATTTTCCATCTGTCATTTATKTTTTGGCTAACTTAACTATCGGTAAATAACCATTTTTTACTACAACTTAACTGACAGATGGCTGCTAATCAGATATAGAGAAAACGACTCTATAGCTGTTTTAACAAATTTTATAAACCGAATGGTTTTCCGATGTATTATTTCAAACACAAAGCAGTTATTCGCAGACAAGAGACTTGTTTTGAGGGAAGCATTAATTTTGGAAACCGGTAAATGGAGTAACAAGAAACAACCATAACTTTGTCTGCAACAAAGCTTTAATTTCTATCTTGCTTTCCACAAATAAAGAAAAAATATCGTTTAAGAAGATCTTGATGGATCGGAAAAGTTATAAGTGTGACTGTTTTGTTTAGAACTGAACAATATGTTCGGAGCATGAAGCTTAAGCAATGTTCTGTGCCAAGTTTCATGAAGATATCTTGGGAAATACATAAATGTTTTTTCCTAACAAGGACTTTATATTGACTAGTCAGTACTACTAACAATATGAGTAACTATATAGCAAGTCCTATAATAGTCCAGCATTTCCGACAAATGAGCAGCTTCTTAGACACACAGACAGACGGACGTCACGCTGTTCATATATAAAACTAGTGGCAAATTTAATATACTATGTTTATGGTATCGAACAAACAACTCTAGCAAAGAGTTAGAGCTGGAGTAAAACAGATTGATAAGAAATTGACATAATCTCTCGAAATAAATCAATAAATTGTAAACTTTTCTAAGAGCGAGCAGAGCTTAAACCAAAAAAGAGAGAATCAAAGACAGTTATTAAGTAATCAAATTCCGAAAAAATTACATTTTTGTTCACTCAGTTCTCATATTTATACTATATATATACATATATTGTCTTTTAGTGAGTATGCTAATTAAATTTAGACTTCGAGGTAATTTTTTATGAATGAAATAAAGACTGCCGAAAGCTTAAAGAATACAGCATGTGAATATGTAGGCGTTAATAGATAATAGTGTTTATATATATGTATGTACATTTGTATGTAAATGTTCATATCTGTATATAGGAAGGCGTTGCTGTCGTATGCGTCATTAATCACAATCACAGCTTAATTATCGCCACAGTGCAATAATCAAAACCATTAAAGAAACGCTTAAAGCGCAAGATATGATGACTTGTTTACGAATTTTTACCTGCATGCACATTACCGACATATGTACTCGTAATTATGCATAAGTACACATGTCTTTAAAGATCTGTTAATTTACATATCTATGTAAGTAGCTGCACGTTCTTGCAAGTACCGAGCTGGCACAAGTGCGTACTTACAATATTTACATATTTGTATTAGGGTGGGTCAAAAAAAATATATATATTACATATATATGTTTTGTTATATTTAAAGCATTAGAAGGCAAGATTCCACCAAATTTCTTGAAAGAAAAAATGTTTGTACAAGAAAAAAATAAAAACTCCAAAAATTTGGTTATGCGAATTTTTCAAATAAATTTTGAGGTTATGTGAACAAAGTCTATACACAGAAGTTATAGATCCTTTCTCAACCTACAACTTTGTCAAACAACTTTTTTCTACAAAACTCATAATTTCGTCAGATATCGAGATAAACCATTCTTAACAATGAAAAATTCAGCCAAGTCCCTCACTTTGGTTTTCCAGGCCACAGATCGTCCGTAAATAATCTTTCTCTTAATTTTTGGTAAGCGAAATGGAAAAATATCCGATTTTTTACCCACCTTAGTATAAATGTATATGAATAAATATGTAAGCGGCCACCGTCAGCAAGTGGTGCACCTGCACTGATGATTACTTAAAGACTTTTAAGTCGAATTAAAAGCGATTAGTCATGGAGCCTAAGCTTAGCGAGTTCTTCCGCGCAGCGTCATGCGGCGAATTCTACGATATGATATTCGTATATGTGTGTGTACAACCAGTAGGCAGCGACGGTCAATGTGCAAGAAAGTCTTCTAGTGATTGATGCACAATTTTCCCGCCCGCAATGCACACCCTCACATACAAGCGTATTTACAAGCAAGTAATGTGCATTCAAAGCCCTCGTGTACCGCTATGATTTTTTCATATACATTTATATATAAAAGATATTATATATATATAATATAAATAAATACACATGCTATATATATTTATAAATCAACAAATGTAAATATTTCGATTACAAATAATCACTAATAACAACAAATGACGGAAAAGGTCGCTAGCTTGAAGAAATCAAGGGGGGAAAGCGAGAAAAGTACAACTAAATAGCAAATGTCAAAAACGGCATGAACTGCAATTGCAAGTGACTTAATAAACTGGTGCAAATTCGTTTGCTATGCCGTGGTTGTGGATGTGGTCAACGGGCCACTGTAAGGGCGGGCGGAGCTGATAATGACGCCGGCGTTCGCTATGTGCTGCCAGTTGGATAATTGCTTTTGCTTTTGAACGTGATTTAACAATTAAAATTATTGTTAATGCAAAATGAACAAATATCACCAGAAGCAGCAACAACAACAGCAATAATAACAGCCAGTGCAGCGCGTTTTCGCTTGTCAGCAGCGACAAAGAGCAGAGGAAAACACGAAAAAAATAAAAACTGAACAATTTGCATAGATACAGTTCATATATAAATATATGAATTAGTCAGCTTTTTGAGTTGTTGGGGATTTTTATTACTTTACTTTTTTTCAGTGGCGCTTTCAACCACTTATCTTCAGACTTTGGTATCTGACTGTTCTATTTAAAGGGTTAGCTCGTTCTTAGATCATTTAGAAAACGAAAAATTGTATTCGACACTTTACACTTTAGAGTTTCAAGAATGTCCCATCAGAATCAGGAAGGACCTATCAGAGCAGTTCGATACCAACCGAAGTTTCAGACAAGGCGACTCACTATCATGCCACTTCTTCAATCTTCTGCTGGAGAAAATAATTCGAGATGAAGAACTAAAAGTATCATCTTCTATTAGAGTGTACAGTTGCTGACGTACGCCGATGATGCTTGGCTCGCACGTCACTGTTAAGTCATAACTACGAAATCGTAGAAAATTTCGTTTATCTTGGTACCGGCATTAACATCACCAACAACGTCAGCCTCGAAATCCAACGCAGGATATCTCTTGGCAACAGGTGCTACTTCAGACTAAGTAGGCAATTGGGAAGTAAAGTCCTCTCTCAACGAACACGGGCTAACCTCCATAAGTCATTCATTATTCCCGTCCTGCTATATGGTGCAGAGGCATGGACCATGGCAACATCTGATGAGTCGACTTTGCGAGTTTTCGAGAGAAAAATTTTGCGAAAGATTTGTGGTCCTTTATGCGTTGGCCACGGCGAATATCGCATTCGATAGAATGATGAGCTGTATGAGATATACGACGACATTGACATAGTTCAGCGAATTAAAAGAATTAAGTCAAACACTCCACCTCTGAAAGTATCCGACGCAGTACCCGCCGGGGGAAACAGAGGAAGAGGTAGACTTCCAACTCCATTGGAAGGACCAGGTGGAGAAAGACCAGGCTTCGCTTGAATTTCCAATTGGCGCCACGTAACGAAAAAAAGAAACGACTGGCGCGCTGTTGTAAACTGGGCTATAACCGCGTAAGCGGTGTCTATGACAATAAAAAAAAGAAGAAGTAAAAGTAAACTACTATATTTCAAGTCTTAAAAGACAATCCATCCCCGGAACTGAAATACTTAGTCATATCTACTTATCTTTGTTCCTGACTAACACTTAGACAGATTTTGAATAGACGGCGAAAGCAAATCCGAATCGCAACTTCATCTCTAAAAATCATAGAGAATCATCGCACATACAGCGCCCCCATACAGTGAGATCAAACTAAACCAACC